TAGGGAATGACACAACCTTCACTTCAGGGTCAAATCCCAAGTGGTGGCACAGTCAAAGGGAATTGAAGGTGTTTGGTTTTCTTGAAATGAGCTGCTGGTATCAGCTAAGGTTTTGGTTTTTTTTTTTTTTTTTACTTGATCAAGGCAAGGGCTGTATGTTAACTGTTTTAATCCAGTGTGCAACCAAAATGGGACTGTAATTCAGAGATAAACATTTGGTTGGACTGTAATTCAGAGATAAACATTTGGTTAATAATGATTTTGTGACTACGTGCTGTTACTCACAAGACCACTTGGGTGCTGTAGGATGTGCTGCAAGGAGCAGAGCCATGGAAGGAGGCAGCCCACAACCTCCCACAGCACCTACAGCAGCATCTCCCCATACTTTGAGACCATCACTTCACCCAGGCTGCTTTTTTGCCAGTCCAGGGCCACACTCTTCAACTGCAAAGCCACGTTAGTCCTGCAAGAGCAACTGCGTACCTGTACAGGGGTTTTGGGTAAAACGGTGCTCACCGAAAAAGGGACACCCTACAAAGCCAAAGGTGGGTCCACCGGGATTAAACTCTTTTGCTCCACAGGACTGAGCTGCAGGAGCCCCTCAGGTTAGGCACAACACACAGCCTTTGGGACATGGCACCAGAGTCCCTCTTCTGAAATTCAGGGGAAGAGTCACAGAAAGAGTCATAGGGAAAGTGGGCAGGGGAAAAAAAAAAAAAAGCATTTTTTAGGTCTACATACCCAGAAGAATCACTCAGAGCAGAGCAGAAGAAAAGCCAAGTCTTCCTAAAAACAACTGAAGGGGCATTTCAGTGGTCCAATGGTGGGCACTGTCAAAAACCTCAGCAGAAAGAAGTTCAGTGCATAAAGCATGTATTCCATTTTCCTCCTGGCTGAGGTCCCTGCCTCGTTTCAGTGGCTTTGGACCCCGTTAACCCCAAACCTGCTTCTTGCTTCATGCGCACAGAGACCCAGCATCTGCCCGATGATCTGCGGGGACCCCGAATAAATGAGGCAGCTTGGAGGGCACGACCTGCCAGCCCTGGGTTTCTCTGCTTGTACAAGGCTCGTGGCAGGCGAGGGTTGTTTCCTGCTGCAGGAGCAGAGGGGTAGGCGTGAACACCTAAGAGTAGTGAGCTCCTAGGAATGCAGTTGACACCTGAGATATTTATTTGAATCTAACTATTAAGAGCTGAATATTAACTTTATACAATTTTATTACTGTCCTGACCTCCGATAGCTGCTGGCCACATCTGCAGTAGAGGCCAGTCAGATGAGAGACAAGGTGGAAAACACATTTCATTTCTGAGTGGAAGGAGAGCTTCTCATGCTTATTTCCAATCTCTCTTTTGCATTACAGTACAATATTTTTTAAAAAAAGCACAGGCGATTAAAGAGTCAGTGAGAAAACAAAAAGACTTATGATTGATTTTGCTTAAGTAAAATACTGATTTCTATTACACTAGCCTTTACTTGGAGGCTTTTGGCTTCTATAAGGAATCGATTTATTCTACTTGTCAAAAAAATCAAAATCAGAAACAGTCCAGCTGCTTGTATGCCCTGCATGAAAGAAATGCCCGCCTTGTAGGAGTTAGCTTGACTTTTTTGCAGGAGAGGGGCCGAAGACCGCGGGAGTTAATTACATCAGTTGAGAAGGGTCGCTTTTCATTTCCAGCGAGCCCAACTCCGACTAAATAAATAAAGCTGGAACGGGAGAGCAATGACCACAGTAAGTGGCCGAAACTCCACGTGATGACAGAGGAATGATTTCCCACCACCACTGCTTAAATATAACTAAGGTGTTCTGTAATTTTACTTCCACAAGCCAGAGGGCTTATTGTAATCCTGATAAATTATAGCAGCAGAAGCAGGAGAGAAGTGGGACAGAAGAAGGGAAATGTTAATGCAAAATATAAAATTGCCTCACAGAAAAGAATGGGGAGAGCAAGAGAGCGGTTTGTTATCGTTTATTTTTCTTCAACATATCATTCAGTTTCAGCTGTCTCCCATCTCACCCAGATCTCCACCATTTCTCAGAAACGTCTCTCGATGGCATCTCATTCTCCTCCTGTCTTTCACCAGCGTTTCATTATTTCTTAACTGTCCCTGAAAGGGTCTGGGCAGGAGGCGGAGGGGAGCGGACGAGGCTTCGCCCCACGTGTCCGCCTCATTTAAGCACTTTGCAAAAAGCGAGCAGGGGACGGGGAGGGGGGGGGACAGACGTTGCAAATAATGTTAGATGTGATTAATCTCCCGGATTCCTGGAAATCTGACATGCATGAGTTACAGCGAAACCTCTTTTATTTCGCCATGAAATGCTTTTGCATAATGAGAAAGAAAATGTCCTCTGTGCCCTAATCAACTCTGACAGGTCCTGGACTCCCAAATACTTTTATTTATGGCGTTAATTTATTTCACCCCTAATAACCGGGGAGGTGGCCCCGGGGCTCGCTCCGGGCCGGGAGGGGAGGGTGCCCGGCGGAAGGGCCACAAAGTTTTGGCGGCGGCTCCGCGCTCCGCGCAGCGCGGGGCGGGGCGGGACCCCGCGGGCCGCGCCGAGCCGGGTGGAGGGACGGAGGTTTTGGGGGGGCGGGGGGTTGGGAGGGGTGGCGCCCCCACCGCCCCCCGCCGCCGCTCGCCCCCCGAGGCGGCTCCCGTCGGCTCACCTGCCCCCGCGGGGGGGGGGGGGGGCGTGGGGCGTGGGGGGGGGGGGGGGGCGCGGGGGGCGGTGGCGGCCCCGCCAGGGCCCGCCTCCCCGCCCCGCTGCCATTAGCAGAGATTACCCTAAACACTTGCCGGTCGCCGCCCGTCTCCCTCCAGGCATTGGCGCGGCCGCCTGTCAATCAGGCCGGCGCCCCGCCGCGCCGGGGCTCCGCCGTGCCACAGAGACGAGCCGCGGCGGCGGCAGACACAGCCCCGGAGCGGGGCCGCGCCGGGGGAGGCGGCGGAGGATGGAGGAGGAGATGCAGCCGGCGGAGGAGGGGCCCAGCACCCCCAAAATCTACAAGCAGCGGGGCCCCTACAGCGTCCTGAAGACCTTCCCCGGGAAGCGGGCGGCGCTGGCCAAGCGCTACGAGAGACCCACCATGGTGGAGGTGCCCCGCGGGCGCGGAGCGGGGCAGCCCTTCCCGCACGCCGCCGAGCCGCTGCCCTACGCGCCGCACGGCCCCTTCCCCAACGGGCCCGCCCGCCCCGCCGCCGCCCCCGGCGCTGCCCAGGGCCACCCCCGCCCGCCGCCGCCGCCGCCGCCGCCGCCGCCGGCCCCCAGCTCCTCGGGCCGCTACGGCCCCTGCCCGGCGGCGGCGGGGGGCGGCGGCGCGGAGCTGAGCGCAGGTACCCGCAACTCCTCTCCTCCGCCGCGCAACTTCGCGGGGCACTTTGCAGCAGGCGGGAGCGGGATGGGGGCTGCGGGCTCCCCCCCCCCATCTCACCTCACACACACCTACACCCTTCTCCCCGAGGGGGGGGGGCGGGGGGAGGGCTGGCGGCGGGCTCGGGTCCCCCCCGTCGGGGCTGGCGGCGCCCCGGGACCGGAGCGGGGCAGGAGCGGTTGGGAGGGGGGGACGGGACGGGGCGAGCTGCTGGGTCCGCCCGTGGGTCCGGGCATCGCTAAAGTTCCCGGGGGCGGCCGGGGCCGGGGCCGCTGCCCGGCCGGTGTCACCCCCCCCCCCGGGGGAAGGCGGGGAGGGGGGGATCGCGGCCGCCGCCGTCGGGGCTGTACCGGCAGCCGGTGGCGCCGTGGCGGGGCGAGCGCCCGGCGGGCGGATCGCACCTGCGGGAGCAGCGCTGGGAGCGGGGGGGGGGGGGGGGGGGGGGGGCAGTCCCGGGCCGGCCGCGGTCGCGGCCCGCGGGGGGGAGCGGGGGGGGGTTGGGGGGGGGGGGGGGCGGCAGGCTGGGGCTGGCTGCCGGAGGGAGCTGCTGGTGATGGAGGGGCTGCCGTTAAAGAGGTGGTGATTTTTAACAGAAAGAAAATAGACCGGCTGCTTGCCTGCACCGTTTTCGTAAGATGCAGCGAGGAACGGGAGATCAGATTATTTTATTATTTTTTTTCTTTAAAGGTGTAAGATGCCAAGATGCTGAACGCATATCTTTCTTCCTAGAGATGGCTTGGAGTTAAAAACCACGTAGATCTTGATATGCAACCTAAATTTGGCATCAGGAAATGGGAAATTGCATCTTTAAGCAGAGTACAATCAAAAATGAATTACAATAAATCCTATATAATTGCATAGGTCATTCTCTTTAATGAGATTTTATTAACCTGACTGTCAAGCTTTTGAGTCAGGCAGATATTTTATCTTCTTCAACTGATAAAAGTGTCAGCTATAAACCACCATATAAATATTCATAAATCTACACATCTGTGGCAGCCTATCAGCATCATTCTTTTGGACATTAAAAGCATTCTAATTACTTTCTGTCTAGCAGAGCTGAAATGCTGCCTGTTATAGTATGTGCTTGGCAGGCATGATTGCTTTTGTTTGCCATCACAAATAGCAGCATCCTATTTTATATACTGATGGTCCAGAATATATTCAGGGTTTGACTGAACAGGATGAATATTATGAAGCACCATCTGGTTTTGATAACATCGGGTATATTAACTCATCTGTTAATTTTTGACACATCATTGATTTATTTATTTAGAAAAATTGGATCCTGTTTTGGTATGTTGCTGTTTGCCTTTGTAACAAATGTGATGACATTTCCTTACTAAACAGGGAGATATGCTAGTTAATAGGATATATGGCTATGTTTTAATGCCTGTTTTTGCTCAGAAGCAGCCGTGTACTGGATGAATTTATCATGTCTTGTTACAAATAATTCAACTACTTCACCAAAAAAGTTTAATGCCTGAATAGATTAGCCTGAAAATTCACGGCTCTGACGCATGGTCCCATGATCCGTGGCAGAAGATCATGTTTTCTTTTTTCTTTAAATTATTTCTTATTTTAAATGCCCAAATAGTGCTATTTCAGTATTTTTTTTGTGGCCCACAATCAAAATGCTGTTGATAAATGTGGCACCTACATTTCTTTACAGAATCAGATGATGCCATGGGAAACACTCAGCTGTTTGGGAGATGATATACAAGGCCATATTCACAGCAAAGCCTTCTGGGCTTTGATGAGCAGAAATTTGGATTTTCTCCTGCCCCTGTAGACTGTACTAACCGGGAGCTAGAGAAGGCTTCAGAGTTTGTCACTGATTCAGGTCTGTGCTAAAAAAAAAAAAAAAAAAAAGATAGTTAAGGAACTGCTGTTTGTGCACCGAAGTTCCGTCAAGTCCCTGTCCCGTTGCCTGCACAACCAGGCTTTACTTCTACTGTAGGTTCCTATATGGGTCCCAGTGTACCCTTCTTTCAGCTAAGAATTAAGTACCAAGCAAAACAGAACAGGAGAAAACAAACCAAAAACTTGCTACAGTGTGCAGAAGTGGGATTTTGTACAAGTTGTTACCAGAGGCTGATAAAGCAAGAGGTGAGGCTTAGACCCCCTGGGCATTTTAATCCCTGAGGTACGGGCGCTTTGCTGAGCTCTGGACCGATCCTTCCTGCTCGGTGATGGAGAGCCGCCAGGCGCCTGGTGTTGGAGGAGCCGTAGCACCGGTAAGCTGAGCAGGGAGCTGTTGAGGGTGAGCTGGTTGGGACCTCGGGGCTGTATGTACTTCCCTCCCGTCGTCCCGAGCCTTGAAATCCTCCTAACAAAAGGGTGAGCCGGTTTAATAGCTCAGGCTGCCGCTGGGGAAACAGAGCTGGGGTTTTACCCCCGGGGAGCGGGAGCATTTGTGGGTGCTCCGTAGAGGGTCGCTCTGCGCTTTGCCCAGCGCTCACAGGGTCTCTGCCCACCCGGCTCCTGGGTTTCCCGCAGCAGCAAGGGACACAGGCTGGGCCCTTTCTCCAACACCTCTTAGCCTGAGGTTCATACCCCGAGTGATGGATGTTGTAGGGAAGGATCCTGCCCTTAGCAGATACCCAGCTGCAGGTCCACTGAGTTGTTCTACACAAGGCAGACAGTCACCGTTCATGACTTCCCACTTAGCTTACCCACAGCGCTTGGTAGTGCTTACTTAAACGAAGGGGTGGAGGGCTGTAGATCTCAGTTTTGTAGGGACACCCATTTCGTAAGTTTGGTTTCAGAAATTGCCCTCTTTTTCCTGATACCTCTTCACTTGTGCAGGCAGCAGTGAGCAAGCTGGCTCGGTAAAACGCTGTTCCTGGGATGTCTAACTGCACTAGCGACTTAAACCCTTGATGCAGTTGATTTTTAATTTTCAGCCATGACATTTCTGGCTCCTTGGGATTCAGAGCACCAAGCTTGCTTTTGAGAGTGGACATCTCTCTTGCTTTTGAGAGTGGACTTTTCCCAATGTTTCGAGCTCTTACCAAGAAGGAATGGTTTCTTCTTCAGTCCCTCTGTAAGAAACCACTGTGGCCTCCGGATTTCAGAAGAATTGCAGGAAGAGGGTTTAGGGGAAGGAGGAAAAGCAGGTGTTCTTCACTCTGCACCACGGTGAGGAAAGATCTAGCTCAAGATCCCATCTTCTAGGGAAAGATCCTGCATGAGAAGTGTCATCTTACAACAAGAAATGTGGAGCTGCACTGCAATGGGAGCCATCTCTCTCCTCTAGCAAATAGTGGTCACTCTGACCACTGCTGCCGCAGAGTGAGCCACACAAGTGGATACATTCAAAGCACTAGCAGATCCCCATTTTCTCCAGTAAAATATATTAATATTTTATTCTTTATTAGCCTATCCAGGTTATTTTCCTGGTATGAAAACAATGGGTATCTTTGTCTTTGGTAGCACGTACATTAAACAGTATTATAGTCCACCGAAGAAACTCCTCTTCCTTAGGAAAGCGTGATGCAGACCTTACAGTGTGCCATAAAATTTAAGATGTGCTTTCATGTAAAGCAGAGAAAGAAGAGCAGAGCTATCTTAGAGGTGCTATTCCAGTGCCAATGACGTGGAGTGTTTAACATGGGCAATTAATAAAACTCTATCATGCCCGGAGAGAAAAAAAAAAAATTATGTGAACAGAGAAGGTGAAGATCATTATTTTGGCCTCAACCCAAAAGTTGGGAACTCTCATCTGGAAGTAGATCTATCAGATCAGTACTGAAATGGCCAAACACTTGTAGTGTTCATCCACTGGACTGTTGCAGTGATCCTCGTGCAAAATATCCAAGAAAGCATCACTTAGTCATGGGAGGTGTTTAGTGTTCTTGGTTTTATAACCCAAGCATAGATATTTACAGCAGTGTTCATATCTAAAAACATGACAGAATCTGTACGCACGGACAAAGCCATTTGAGGGGTACAGAGCGGCTGCCCCAGGATCTAAATTAATAATAATGTGACAGTAGTCAAACAAATCAAGAAATACAAATCATCAGGTGAGAGGACTGAAACACTGCAAGGTGAAGAGTGAGATGATTGAAATTGCTAAGGAACCCGAACTTTGGAATCTCGCTGAAAATTACGTAACAAGGAGTACATTGCCTGCAGGGGAGAATGTATGGTATTCAGACCCACTCAATAGTTATAAAGATGACTTTTTAAACCAGCTGCCCAAGACTACAAAGGAAACTATGGAAAATCTACGACCTGAATTCAGAGCCACTGAGACCCAACACAATGCCCTATTAATAAAGCTGTCTGGTCTAAGTATTGAACAGATCCTCAGGTGTAGCAAAAGCTGGTGTTATGCCTGCCAATCTTTCCTGAAATCTTTTCTGATGCATCTGTGTAAGTCATCAGGTTGAGTTTCAGAAGTTTGCTCTTACTAAAACCTCAGTTTTAGTCTGGCAGTTGGATAGCTAAAAAGCCCCATAGTTCAGCATCAGTGAGAAAAAGATGTAAAGATGAATGCTATATCTTGGAGTTGGTACCTGATCTGCCATATAATAGTATCTCCTGGCTGCTTGCACGCTCAGATAATCTAGTTAGGAATACTTACACTTTTAGCAATTTGCTCCTGCTCTATTAGCACTTTATGGGCCTGATCCGGCAAGTCCAACTTCAGGCAAAAGTCTAGTTAAAGTCAATAGAAGTTCTGTAAGACTAGAGGGTGTAAGACATTAGAATTACATGGTTGGTGAGCATCGTAATAAGGAAAAAGAATATCGCAATGAGACTTTAATAAACTGTTTACACTGTTTTAGTCCAGTGCAGTCATTTCAATAGAATCCTCCTTTCCTAGAAAATACATACATTACATTAAATCAATTAAGAGTCATAGATCTGTGATTATTCAGTAGTAATCACATAAAAACAACTTTTTGTCATTTCTTAGTGATGAGGCATTGCACAGTGCTTGCATTTCTAATTATAGTTGGTCTGTAAAAGCTGAAATCCCAATTTCTACAATATGTGCTAAATGGACAACATTTATTTTTATTTTTTCTCCATCACAAGAAATAACCGTAGTTATCATTCTCATTTAGGGGTTGTTCAGACTGTGGGCATGTGCACTGTTACTGGTGTAGAAGTCGCTTCAAAGTGGTACCTGCTTCAGCACAGAGCCAGATGTTTCCGGAATGTGTGCTGAGAGCATCCCTCACTATTGCTGCCCAGTGGTACCCACAGAAAAAAGCATTTGCAAACCTTTGTGCTAGCATTTCAGAATAGCCCTGCCTTTTCATGACTTCCATTTTTATATCTTTGAGTATGGGTTAAAGCTAAGAAAAAACCCAGTAATTGCTGTTATTGTGTCTTTGTAGTAGATCTGATACTGAACTGAAGATTAAATCAATGCTGTCATTTCTGTATAAAATTTCAGTTATATTTTAAGCCATTATCGTAGTGAATGTGCCTAATGAATTCAATTTTACAACAAAACTAATCATTAATTTTATCTTTACTGATGTTAGTGTGTATTATAGCATTCTTTAAAACTGGTATTTGAAATGTCAGGTTACTTTTTGCCATATTTCAGGAGAAATTGTAATATTAGAATAACATCTCTTATACTAATCCTTTTCAGTTGTTTCATTCATATTTTGTCCCCTTGCAACAAGGATACGCAAGGAATGAGTAACTGTTTTGTCAACAGGGACCATAATGATTAAAATACAAACAGTAAATATGACTTCAGGTCTGGAATCGGATTATAGGATTAAAATGAGTGAAAAAACTACTCTGTAGTAGGATTGCAAAGTTCCAATCAATATCATCCTGTAATAATTTTAAAGGGAAAATGTGGGAAGTAAAGAAATAAGGCAAAGAAAGCACAACTTGAGGTTGTTAGTGATGCCTGAGCTTCTTGATTTTCTTTCGATTTACCAGCAGATCCCGGCTAGAAAGCTGCAACGTCACCAGGGTTCTGTTCTTTTAGTTTATATGACATCTGTTATTCATAAAGGTTAAAGACAGCTGGCCTGAGGTTAATGCAGTGAAAGGGAAGGAGGGACAGCAGATACGGAGGCTACAGAGCTCCTGGCACCTCACTGGCACCCACTTGCAAAGGGGGCAGCAGTGCCTGTGCATTTCTGCCCTCTGGAGTTTGTAGTGTGGACAGGAGGTGTTTTGGTTCAAAGACGTGTTGGAGGAATCTACCCTGGTTGGTCCGAGCCCATCCGCAGGGGTGTGGTGTGACTTGTTAGCACAGGAGGCTGATTACGAGGATGCTTTAAGTGGTCGTGGGGCCACCTCAATCCTTCCCATGCCGGTGGGGTCTCCCTGCTTGGCCCCGGGCACCCCAGCACCGTGCCTGTGCTTGCTCTGTCCACCTCACATCCCTGTCCGTACGGTTCAGTCCGCGGAAAATCACATCCTCGGGTTTCGTGCCGGGGAGGTCTCCACCGGCTGCGCTCGAGACTGAAAGCATTTGTATGCTGCTTCAGCCCTGCCCTCGTCGCAGAGATCTGGAGGATGGTAGAAATGCAGATTAGTGTAAAATATTCTTCAGGCAAATATTCTTCAGGCCAGCTGTACTAACCTCAGCGTGAAGTAGATTTTCCACCAGAAGATGTATCTTCTGGATTGTGGAGAGGTACCGTGAGAAGTGCCACCTTCTAAAAGCCTGAATTCTGAACATTTCTGGTTCTTTACATGTTATCAGTGTGATGAGGCTATGTTTTCGTCTCTAGTGATGAAGTTAAGATAAATGAAGGTCTGGGGTGCTTAGTCTCACGCATCTGTAGCAGGTTGCCTTTTCAAAAGTAAATGCATTTGTCACTTTCTAAAAGTCAAGCCTGCCTGAGAAGAGCTCTCCAAAATTGGCAGCGCTTGAACATACCAGTCTTTTTTTTTTTTTTATCTCATGCAAAATGTTAGTTACATCTTTTTAGACACCTAGAGGAACTCAGCTGTGAATAAGCTAAAAAAAAATTAGAGGCATTATTTTTATCGGTGAACCTAACAGGTCATACCATAAATTAGAGCCAAATATCCTGGTCATTTTCAATTTGGGTCCAAGAACTGTTACAGCAGCTTGACTCTACATACATAGACACTGCAGAAATGAACCATCCTACTGTAGAGGTTTAGGTTGTAGCTGCTGTTGTTCCCCGAGGTGTGACACCTCGTGTCTTTAGAGGCAAGGCTGACTAGGTATGGTGTGGCATCCTTGTCCTGCTCCCAGACCCCCTCCGCTGCCTCCAGAAACTGCTGCACAGCACGTACAGTTTCCTGATTATGTCCAGAGCAGCTTGAAGAGCTCTGCACTGCTTTCCACTCCGTGATATTGGCCTACCAACAAACTCATAGGAGGCCAACAGGACAGAAAAAATTCCTCTTCTGACCAGAGGAGCTTGACATTGTACATTCGATGCCTTTCCTTGGTGTAAGAAGAGGGTTTTGTGCTTATCGCTCTTGAGTTGTTCTGGAACCTAAAGCAAAAGGAACAGAAGCAAAATCCATACAATTGGCAGTGGGTCATGTGAAGTGTCCCATGTCCAGTGTCGAGCAAGTGCAACAAAGATGAAAGGGAGAAAAAGCAAAGCTTGGAAACCTTGTTGGATAGGAGCAAGGGCATAGGAAGAAGGTGTAGTGCAAAGTCCTGCAAATATGTACAGGCAATGCCCACCAGCAGCTCAAAATAGACTTCCAGAGAAGTACTTACTTGAACTTTTACTTGTAGCAAATTGGATGAAATTTGTATTTTCTTCCCCATTTTCCTGTCTTAATCCCTCTGAAAGGAGATGGCAGTAAGCAGTGACTATCATCACAATGCCTTTCTGATTAACAGCAAGGGCACAAGGGCACTCTCAAAATAGAAGCAAAGTCGGGATTGTTTTAAATCACAGTGTTGCAGAAGTATTAAAGCAGAAGCCATAATTTTAATGTGTTCAGAAATAAAATGCATGCTACTGTAAACAGTTGTGTACATTCATCTAGCTGTTACTGCCTGGCATAACCTTTTGCATTAGGTTTCTGTGATTCATCTTTTCTTTTGTTGCAGAGAGTCGAATGATTCTGGATGCCTTTGCCCAACAATGCAGCCGGGTTCTAAGTCTCTTAAATTGTGGTGGAAAACTACTGGACAACAATCACTCTCAGTCCATGATTTCTTGTATAAAGCAGGAAACCCCAAATTATAGTGAAAGACAAGAGCAATGTCAGCTTGGGAAAATGGTCCATAGTCAGACGTCAGACATTTTAGACATAGAGATGCAGTATATGCAAAAGAAACAACAAACCTCAGCCTTTCTGAGAGTTTTTACTGATTCCCTTCAGAACTATTTGCTTTCTGGGAGCTTCCCTTCTCAGAACACCTCATCAGTAAATGATTTTAGCCATTTGGCAGATGTGGATCCACTTTCAACCTCTCCAGTACACACTTTAGGTGGATGGACATCTCCAGCAACATCTGAATCTCATGGTCACCCGTCATCTTCTACACTTCCAGAGGAGGAAGAGGAGGAAGAGGAAGAAGGTTACTGCCCTCGGTGTCAAGAGCTAGAGCAAGAGGTAATTTCATTGCAACAAGAAAATGAGGAACTTCGTAGAAAATTGGAGAGCATTCCAGGTAAATAATCCCCTGCCATGTAATATTGCCAGTCAGTGATAAAAATAGTTGGGGTTCAAATTTTTTTTTTTTTTTAATAATTGGTTTTAAGTTCTAGTCTTTTTTTAAGCTTGCGATCATAGTAATCAAACACTGGAATTTATCTTCAGCCAAAATTCATATAGCTGTGTCCACTGAAATATTATCTGCTAGTACTCATCCATATGAATCTTAAATCCTAGACTAGTGAGCTGTGTTCAGGATGGGATGTACTTGTAATCCCAAATTCTAAGCATCAGATGGTTTGTCACAGTAATTTCAAACATATGCTTTTATACCTAATTATCTATCTTGTTCTTTAAGGGACACTACAGCTTATAAACTTAATTCCCTTTTGGGGCTCCTTTTTTGGTTACTTAAAAAAACTATTCAAAGTTACATCCATACTTTTAACTGAAATAGATTTGGCTTTCACCTTGAACGGTATCTCTTAAAATTGCTGTTAGCTTAGTGAGAAGCATAATACATCTCCTCTCATTCATCCTCAAATAAAACCTGAAAAAAAAAGCTTGACAACAACTTCTCTGGTTCAGCAATACCCAGCAGTCACTAGGAGGAAAAAAGCAAACAGAAAAACTCCCATCTAATAAACAGCCCCTCTGTGAGAAACTTCTCTTGCCCCTTTAAACTTAGGACTTCTCACTGTTGAAATGCACCAAGATACCTGAAGAGTGGTATTGGATAAGAACAGAGTATCTTGGCTGCATATCCTCTACACTTTAAGGATAGGCAAAAATACACCTCAAATAACAATACTAAAAGCAAACTGGAATTTAGCAAAATAAGTACACAACACACTTCTGACATGTCTAGGGAGCTGCGCCTTTGCAAGCTAAAGTTTGAGGTGTAGATCCATGCAAAGTTAATTGGACTAGTCCCTAAACGGCAGAGAAGAACAGATAATATAGCATGGGCTGCAAGAGAGAAAATACTTCAAAGCTGCTAGAAAGGAAGCAAGCAATAAACTGCCCCAATATGTAGGTGCAATTGCAAAATCTGAGAAAAAAAGCTAGCATCAGTCTTCATAATTCTTCTCCCCAGATATCAGTGATGTATTATGCATTATTTGATTTACATTATGGTTTTCTTTTGTGCATTGGTCCCTAGGGGTACCAGCAAATCCCATAAGCAACATTGTTCAGTGCAGAGAGAACCCAAAATATAGAATACTCTCCCCACCCCTCCCAAAATCTGGAGTCACCATAACTTTTGCACTCTCACTGGATTCAGGAGTGGTTCGTGCATTACATGGAAACACTGTGTGACAAAGGCAATCGTGTGGACTTCAACTCCTGTTGAGTCCTAGCTTCAGATGTGTAACACCAAAAATGATCATTAGGGTCTATAATCTGACCTACAGCTTTCATTCAATCACTAATGTTGAATGCAGTAATCTTTGACTAAACCATAACTTACATTTGACGCAAGTAATCTCAGAAGGCCTCCGGTCCTGAGTTGGAGACTGGTGAGCAAAAGCTCTACCTCTTACCCTTTGGCTAATTACACTGGTGAAAATATATGCCTTATTCCTTGCCTGACCATCTGAAATCACCTTCTAGCCGTTGACTTTTATGCTTTTCTCCACTAAATGAAGTACTGTATAGGGCTTGGTACTTTCTCTGATTGAAGGTACTTACAGATTGAAAGCTGACTTAATTTCCACTTTAGATAAACTAAACAGAGATGTTTAAAACTCCTCAAATGAGTTGAATCCTTCTTTGCAGTTCTTTTCTGCCCTCTGCTCATTTCTTTAAAATCTGGGCACTGGGAATACATGCAGTATGTTCCTATCTGCCTGAGCAAAGGTGAAGAGTCTCTTTGTTTCCACCTGCAGTTGCCCTGGTTGTCTGGCCATCGGTTGTGCAGCTGAGCTTCTCATTCTGTGCACATTTCTTCCTAGACATACATACTTTGTATGTGGCTGTGTTCATTGCTAAGTGATCCAGATTGCTTTGGCTGCCCTGATGCCCAGTGTTTGGTGGTTCACCGGTTTCTGTATCATCCAGAATTTTTTTGATTGTGTGCTAGAAACACATCTATTCATGATGATTCCCCCAATGCCGAATACTTGAAATGTCAGTAGCAGGTTCTTAGTCCACATATATTCTAGTCTGCTGATGTGTGTTGCTGCTTTTGCAGTCAGAGAACTCATGGTAGTAAGTTAAATGCCCTTCAGGAGTCTAGTTATATTACAGCTATTCAACCAAACTTTTTCAAGCAAACCTATAATCTCATCAAAGAATGACAATCAGGTTAGTCCGACAAGATCCACTTTCCATAAGACCATTTTGACTGGCATTAATTATATTCATATTCTTTAGTTCTTAGTCAATTGAATCCCATCGCAATTGCCTGTATTTTGCCAGGATTAATGCCGGGCTAAGCAGCCAGTATTTACCTGGGACATCACAGCTACCCTTCATGTCCCTTTACAAGAGAGATATACATAAGCACAGTCATTTTCCACCCCTCAAGGAGTAATGAAAAACCTTGTTAATAGTGTATCAAAGAAACCAGACAAACATAAAATAAATGTGCAAGGATGTATGATTTCATTAGCCAACATAGAATCGTCATCAGATGCATCTGCTGCTGTCTGGGTGATGTATACAGATAGCTCTGAAGGGACCCGTGTGTTTGGGGAAGCATTAAGAGCCACAGAAGGTGCCCTCAGATTTTGCTACATGGTAGGACAGAGGTCTGAGCTCCCCAGGCAGCCCCACAGCCACCACTGAGCAAGGTTAATCAAAAATCAACTGAAGGCAATGTCTAATTATTTTTGCTTCAGTGAGCTTCTGCTACCAAAGAAGCCGGCAGAAATTTTTCTGTGACTTGAAACACCCAACTCTGTATGTAAACAGGCGGAATGCCTGTTCTCTGAGCAATTTTTTTTTTTTGCCCATCAAGACATTGCATGCCTCAGGAGCGAGCCAGAATGCCCTCTGCGGAGGGTTTCAGTGTTGTTTGCCACCATCTATCACATCAGAGTCATCTCAGGGTGCAAACTTTCTTCCCTGCGCGTTCATACGCCTCACGTCACCGGTCCCGGCGATCGGTGCAGCGGAGGCTCAACTGTGGAGGCAGCTAGATGGGCATGGAGGCTGCCACGCTGTCCCGTCAAGCAGCTGAAAGAGCGGGGGGTTTTGACGTCGTGGTTTTCCCTCTCATCCCGGGGGGAGGTGGGCCGGAGGTGCTGGGTGAGGCTGGCACAGGACCCCGTGGGGCGGTGGGAGGCGTGCGCTGTGCCCTCCCCACGGGCGCTGAGGCTCCCACTGGCAATCCTGTCCACAGAAGATGAAAGCACCAGCCCTTCCCTTCTGCTCTGTAACCGTCTATGAATCATTTTAGCCTTTTCCTGAAATACTTTGCATTTCTTTTTTTTAACTTTCCATATGCAAAAGCCCTTTTAAAATCCATGAGAGTTTGCGATCTAAAAATAGATACTGCTGTACATCTCTGCCTCTAGCTCTGCAAAGCACCATTTGCATGGCTCTCAAAGAGGCTACTGGGAAGAAGAGTGTTTTCTCAGCAGATATAAAGGCGACGAGTTTTTTTAACAAATATTACAGAAGATATGTCCTCCTGTAGCTTTTGGACATGGAAAATAAGATTTTTCAGTTTTCAGGACTGCCCTGTTGCTGTAGAAGCTCTCTAGTCCTGTAGGATTGTTTTGCCCATAGCCTCGCATCACTCTCTGGCAGATTATCACTGGAGAGAAATGATTACATGGGTGAAATATTGCATATATTTTGGTCATTGTTTGGGGTTTTTTTCCTCAAAAAATACCCATTTGATTTGACTGAAACAATACTTAAATTTGTGTGAAATCTTAATTGTTTCAGCTATGGAATAAATGAAGAAAAATTCCCATTTCAGTGCTTTGGTTTTTGAGCAATGTGACATGTTGCAATTCATGCATTTTTTCCCCAATAATTTTTTTTTTCTAGGCAAAAACATTAACTGAACATTTTCAGTTTTCAGTTCAACTGAAAAAAAGAGAAATATTTGCAATCAGTGTGTTATTTTGTCTTGTTTTGAAAAATACTTAAAGATTAGATAATTCCTGGAAAGAGTTTGGCAAGCTTGCCATTGGCTCTTTAAGGTTTTGAGACCATCAAGAACAGATCAGAGTAATCCATCTATATGAGGAGGAAAATGTCTCCTAATCTCTTTCCTCTGTATAAAAATTACTAGGGCTGTGATACATTCCCAGTAGTAAAATTAACAACTTATTTGTGAGACTGCATGTAAGACCTGGATTTAGACCCTCTAATATATAAGGATATTAAACAGTTCTCCTTCACTACTGTCAGCAGGATTTTCTCATAGCTTTCAGCCTAAAAGGGAGAAAATATTTCCAGATGGTTCAAGCAAAGGCCAGGATTCGTGAGTGAGGGTTTGCCTCCTGGTGCTCCAAGTTTTGTTGCGTGGCTTTGGGGCAAACCAGCCTGAAAGTAGTGAAAAGGTGCAAATAAGTTAAATGAAGAAGTGTGTGATAAATACAGTAATTACTCTTACCTTGTTGACTCGGCAGCAAAAAATACTCCAGCAAACCACAGGAGAATGGGGATGAAAAGCCCCCCTCAAATGTAGAGAGGTGATCATGTACAGAGAGGATGTTCATGGTGGCTGGAAGTAGCCAAAGCAAAGCGGGATTTGCAGGTAGAGTTAATATCAATGTAATTGAAAAAGTCAGACAAGTTTTCCAGAAGGTTTTGTGTGCCCAAGGCTTGACTCTTTTTCCTGACTATATCAGATGATCTAATAAAAGATATTACTTTTCCCTACAAATCCTGTCTCCTTTATACTTTCAGAGCATCACGTTTCCAAAGAGCCTACCACAGCAGCAGCGTAGCTAAAGCAGCCATCAAGGGTTATGACGAACACTTTTTCATGTCCTTTTTTTTTTTTTTGTCCTTTTTCTTGATGTTCACATTTAACCACTTCTTTGGTTTCTCTTG